CCCTTTTTTTTTTTTTTTTTTTTTTTTTTTTTTTTTTGAATTTGAAGGATTAGTGTTGGTTGGCTCTTTATTATTTCTATATTAAATATGTCACATTTAAATGCTTGTGGCTGTCATCAAGGTGGTGGAGGGTTTTATGTATATTATTAATATTTTTGGGAACTTTTGGTAATTTTTATGATTATGTGGAAAATGTCATATAATTAATGTTTTTTTTTTCTTCTCAATAATTGGTTTCCTTATGAGACTTGTTGACGCTGGATAACAATGTTTATCAGTTATATTTGATAATCAACTCAAAAGGAAAAATATATGTGTATATTTATTTTCCCATTTTTTTAAAATTATAAATCACCATTTATCTTATTTATATCGGAGAAATTATCAAACGAATGGAGGCAGGTGAATTTACAAAAGAAGAACGTACCCATGTTTAAAAAAATCGATGACTGAAAAATTATGATTAATTCTACGGTAGAGTTTGGGTTAGATAATAAATTTATTTGGATTGGGTTTAAACAAATCAAAGCTTTTACTCGGTTGGTTCGTGATTGGATGGAACCAAATGGTTAATTTTGAGTTTCATAATTATTTATTATATATTCTCCGACCATTCTTAAAAATAATTTTTAACTATTGAGAAGGTAATATTTCAAAAGGTATATAAATATAAGTTGCAATTATAATTAAATGTTCGAAAAATATATAAACGAATTAATATTTTATTTTTATTAAAAACAAAAATACAAATTAATATTTTTTTTGGATGGGTTTAGAGTTTAGGGTTTACCATTTTAACAATTGGATTAGATCTAAAACATATTCACGAACACTTCAACCTAACTCACGAACACTCCTGGGCCTGGGCCTGTGAATTAGGGCAAAATTAGGGCAATCTGTGAGAATTGTGGGCCACTTCCCACTGGCCCAATTAAAAAAGAAACCAAATTTGAGCTTGAATTTATAAGGAGATGAGCCTAGACTACCACACGCCATGTTCAAATACAATAGACATAGTTTACCATATTTCTAGCTCCTTTCCGCTCGCCGCTACTCATAACCTAGCTACTCGAAGCTTATTATTCCTCATAGTCTATTTTCGAGGAGATCATTCCTCATAGACTAGTTTGTTGAAGTTCATCGTTCTTAACTCGTTCTAATTTTATTCATGAGTTCTAACCATTCACCTCATTGGAGATCATCTATCTCATTAAGGTTACATGAAGTGTTATGATAATCCAGTGAGCTCTTTGCTATCCATTGCAATCAATTTCAAAACATACGCATACTAACATCTAGGGTAAGATCTTATCCATCATCTCGTCATCAGATCTAAATTTGGACCATGTCTTGATAGTTTACTGTTAAAAGTTAACTGACGACGCTTTATATTGTCCACATTCTCACTAACAAGTTTAAAGAGCACTAGACAGGTCCCCATATCATAAGCTCGAAAGTCAAAGTTATATCAAATTTGGTGTTAATTGGATGCTAGACAAACACGCCAACGTTGGCATATGACTCGTTGTCATTTTGATGTGATGGTGCCAAATCAAATATGACTTAGAATGTACTATGAACATATGACTCGTTGTGTTATAGGATCAAGTTCAACGCAGTGCACAAAAATGACTAGTCATGAACACGAAATGATTTATGCCTTGATACTGTTTGAAGTCAACTTAAAGGTCAACTCTTAATAAGCATGCGAGAGCAAGCTAAGTAGGTGAATATCATTCTAATTCTCGTTGTGACATCATGAAGCACCAGTAGAACTCATAGTTATTTGTTGACACAGTACTTGTCCAAGTTGTCTTGGTTAACGTTATTATGCACAATCACTTGATAAACCTCAGTAAAGGGTCATGAACACGTTTTGAGTCGATAAAAGGCTAAACTTATCTCGACCAATGAAGAAAAACACACGTTTAGGTGACACGTGTGGTCAAGTAAAGTTGTGTTAAAAGTGAGACTAATCTTGCAAAGATGGAAATGTAATGAAATTTAAGGCAGTGGACTCCCACTCCATTTAATGCCTTCAAACCCTCAACCCACTCTTTGTCCACAAACTCAAAAACCTCCACCGCGCCCTTCTCCTCCTCCTCTCTCTCCGTCATGGCGGTCGCCGCCTGCTCCACCGACTTCATCCGCGACTCCGCCTGTCGCGACGGCCACGCCGCCGCCCACCTCAAGTTCATTTCCATCTTCCTCATCTTCTTCACCAGCGTCATCGGCGTCTCCTTACCAGTCCTCCTCACCCGTTTCTTCCACGGAAAACCCCTTTACGACAAAGCGATTCTAATCATCAAGTGCTTCGCCGCCGGCGTGATTCTCGCCACCTCACTCGTCCACGTCCTCCCCGACGCCTTCGACGCTCTCTCCGACTGCCAAGTGGCTTCCCAACACCCATGGCGGGATTTCCCCTTCTGCGGTTTGGTCACCATGATCGGCGCACTGCTGGCGCTTCTCGTCGACGTCACCGCCACGTCGCACGTCGAACACAGCCACTACAATCCGGTGGAGACAGAGGAGAAACCGAGAACCGACTCTGCAGGGGATATTGGGTTGCTGGTGTCGGTGGATTCGAAATCGGAGATTGGGAATTTAGGGGGAGGGAGTTGTCACCGGCGGCGAGAAGGGGAAGAGGAATTAGTGAAATTGAAGCAGAAACTCGTGTCTCAAGTTCTTGAAATTGGGATTATTTTCCACTCTGTAATAATCGGAGTTACGATGGGAATGTCCCAAAATCAGTGCACAATCAAGCCTCTGGTGGCTGCTCTTTCATTTCATCAAATCTTTGAAGGAATGGGCCTCGGCGGCTGTATTGCTCAGGTAATTAATTAATGAACTATCTATACAACTAAAACATGAATCAAGATAATCTCCATGGAATTAGAGGATTGTGGTTTGTTGCAGGCAGGATTCAGCTTCACAACGACCTCGTATATGTGTTTCATGTTCTCAGTAACAACGCCAATGGGGATAGTATTAGGGATGGTGCTGTTTTCAATAACAGGGTACGACGACAGCAGCCCCAAGGCGTTGATCATGGAGGGATTATTGGGTTCATTTTCGTCGGGGATTCTAATATACATGGCTCTGGTGGATCTAATAGCAGTAGATTTTTTCCACAACAAGATGATGAGCTCAAATCAAGGGCTGAAGAGGGGTTGTTTTGTGGCGTTGTTGCTCGGGTCGGCGTCCATGTCGGTGTTAGCTTTGTGGGCGTGAGATTGGATGATGGAAGATTATGAGGCGCCATTGGAGAGGAGAAGCAAGGTCGAAAGAGGTGAAGAAGATAGACGCAATGCATGTAAAGTGATATTGGTTTCCATGTCATGAACCAACTAGGGGATTGGTTTGAATAGGCAAAGAGAGTGATAAAGATAGGAAAGGAGGATTAAAGTGGTGAATAAAGATGGTTGGGGGGATTGGAATTTCATTATATTTTACGTATACAGAATGAAGTGGGAATGGAAAGTTTGTGAATAATGCGCCTTTTCTCACTTAAACTTTTTTTTTCATCTTCTTTTTCTTCATAAAATGGCGTTTTTGGTTTAAAGCAATGGAGGATTGTATACTCCATCATATAATAAACTAAAACAATGCTGTTTTTTCCTTACTTTCTTTGAATAAGACATCCAAGTTTTTTAAATAAATTAAGAAAGATTAGTTTAAAAAAACAAATTAATAAGTAAAGCCTTTTTAAAATCTATTGGCGCTTGTGTTAGGAATCGCGACTCTCCACAATAGTATGATATTGTCCACTTTGAGCATAAGTTCTCATGACTTTGCTTTGGGCTCTCCAAGAAGTCTCGTACCCAATAGAGGTAGTATTTCTCACTTATAAACTCATGATGTTTCACTAAATTAACCAATGCGGGCCTCACTCCTAATAATCCTCGACCATTTGTCTCCGTATCTGGCTGCCAACAGTAGTCATGCATCATATTTGGAAAACTACAACCAAGACAGAAAAGTCATGGTAGACTTCCACTAGCCATTCTTTTTTTTAGGAAAAAAATTAATTAAAATTTAATTCGTAAGTATTTCAATGTTATTTTATATATTGGTTCTTATCACTTTATATTCTATTTGAAATTGTGTTTCAAGAATTTTTTAAAGAAAATGTATGAATAATTTTTCTAAAGAAATGATTAGACAATAAATTTTAAAAATTGGTAACGATTCATTGGACATTTTTGAAATTTAGAGCGTTACGGTAAGATTTAGTAAACACATACATAAAAGTTTCCAACAAATAGATCTAAAATTTGCAATATAATAGAAGAGGACGATGGATTGACTAGTGTTGTGCATAGAAGAAAAAGAAGAATAGAGGATAACAACATGACGAAACATTCACGAGAAGACGTCCAAGTTTGTGATACTTGCCAAGATATGGATCATAATAAAGACCGACAAAAGAGGAACAATTTCTAACTCTCTCTCTCTCTCTCTCTCTCTCTCTCTCATCCTAGACACACAAACCTAGACTTTTTGGACCCAAATGCCTCTTCATCTTCCACATTTGACTCTTCCACTCTGAGACTTTCTTACATTCATTCCATCTATTAGGGGTACAAGAATATAACATTTCTATACATCAACAACGGTTTCATCATGTCTTAAAGGCTAAACATTATAACATTTATGTCTTTGATAAATTAGAGATAAGAAAGAAGGGAGAATGTTTCTTTCCGGGGAGTGGAGAATGAGTTGTAGCTCAAGATAATTTCAGAACAAGGTAAATGAAAAGGCACAAGTTTTTTACAGATGGTTTGGAGAGAGCATCCTTGTGTATACAAATGGAGAATAGGCAAACATGGAATCCATGAATTGTGATTTCATTTTCTGAGGAAACCCAGAGGACATTTCTGAAGATGAAGATGAAGAATCTGAAGATTTTCCTCTAATTCATTCTAACGTCGTTGCTGCTACCCACCGACAGCAATCTGCGGTTCATTTTCACTCAGTTCCAAGTTATTACCAATTCCACTCCTTGAGTAATCATGGCGAGCAACTGGAACCCTACAAATAGGACAATTGGAATGAGAACTCAGCCACATGTCGATGCACTCGACGTGAAAGACGTGCTTACACTTGGGCAAGCTCCTCCCAATCTCATTCTCTTCGAATAAGCTCAAGCAAATGACACATTCCAATCCAATTTTGCACTGGTTTTCCGACACATAAATGAAAAGAGGGATTGTGGAGATCACAGAGGCATCGAGACCTTTGGTGGGAGAGCGAGCAGGGGGAGTATGGTCAAATGATATGGAATGAAAATGGTGCAAGCGAGGCTGGCCGAGCACTTGAGAGACGGCAATAGAGCTGCGTCCCTGGTGACGGGCCTGGGAGAGGAACCATTTGGCATAGATGTGGAGGAGAAGGACGAAGATGGTCACAAGAAGCAAAGAAATCAAAGCAGCTAGCATTACACTTCCATTGTATGAGAGAAGGCTCCTGAAGGCATGACCAAGTGGATAAAAAGATGAAAAACTGAGTGATTGTGCAGAGTTGAACATGCTTCTAAGAGAAAGAGGGAGGAGGATTGAGGTTATGGATGGATTGGATTAAGATTGATTAAAGATATAAGGGAAGGATGGAAGAGAGGGTGTACCATGGATCTTGCTGATTCCCATGAGAAAAAGATTACGTGAAACTGAAGTCATTGGTTAAAGTGGAGAAATTTATATAATAATGAGGCCTGAGATTGGGATATGTGGATGTGGTAGTTGGAAGACGTTAGTCTTTGTCTTTATGAAATGATTACATAATATACCAACGATGGGAGATGGAGAAAGACCATAATCCCAAGAAACCCAGAAATGGAGGCCTCGTGAAGGCGACGGCAGCAACAAGCAGGAAGCAGGATTCCTAATTCTAATATTCATTTTTGTACCATCATATTTGACTAAATATATACTAAATTCAGTAAAAACCCAAAATGTTAAAGAACTAAAGCACAGCCTATTTGTTTAACACCAGAGCAGCATGAATCGAAAAGGATGTCTTCAAGATGTTGCGTTCAAGAGAGTTAATTTCGCAAGGGTGCCTTGGATCATCAAATGACTGTATTGCATTTAATTTTAATAGATTTAAAATCACTCAAACAAATAAGAAAAAGTTACCTCAGGTTGAATTTGGCCCACTTGGGGGGGGGAAGGAAGCTGGGAAGATAGGTCTCCTCGAGTCAAATCTTTTTGCTTCCTGATTTATAGATCAACCGGTGAGTTTGCTTCTACAATCTCTCATCACAATCATTCACCTGAAGGAGCTCATGAAAGGTAAAAGTAAATTGAAAATTTCAGGAAAAGCTTCTTACCTGATGGAGAAAATTGCTTTCTCAAATACCTCGAAGTATAATAGATTGAAGAAAACATACCGAATACTGAAAAAATGAAAACACGAATGTGTATACCGTGCAAGCGGTTCGATCAAGGAGTATGCTATCTCCACGGCAAAGTTAATAGCCATACCATTTTTGCATACTCCAATTTTTTTAACTATTATGTCTGGCTTGGATACCTCTCGCCTACAGACTGCCGTTTTGATTTTTTATCTTTGATGGGTCAAAGTAGACCGTAACCAAATAGCTAACTTTTGCCTCCATAAGAACAACGACCTGTTAATATCGATATTTTTACCATCTAAAACTTCCTTCATTTTAATAATTGAACAAAATATAGATGGAATAGAACTCCTCCAAGTCCTGTTTGAATGGAAGAGAATTTTGTTCATCAATCCCACCCTGCCTGAGCACGAGTTACATTCATACACATCACTGTTACAAAAATGAACATGAGTTCTCATCACATTAGCATCGGAGGTCAATGATAAGTGAGGCACAATTTATGACGCCAACATCTTGGTAATGAATGAAAATTAAAAGAATGCATAGGATTTTCTCAAAGAACATGAGAATTATAGAATAACATCCAGGGATATGTTAGTCCATAAGTTTGTATCTTTTTTCTTGCACACCCGTGACTCCCATTTGTATCTCAATTATTGTATGAAGCGGGACCTGCCAAAATTGAACCGGAGCATTTTAAACCATTCTAGTTGAGACCCCTAGCATTCACTCGCTCCTAAATATTGATGTTGAAAATATAAAAAGTGATTGTTAATTATCTGCACAATTACCTCAATGTGTGGAATTTCTTTCAGGGGCCTATCAGCAAAATAAGCATACAACGCTCTCAAGACCGCCTGTAATCAAAGACAAAATAGAAAGGTAACCACCTGTAAATATGGACGATGGAATGGTTAAAACATTAGTTTACCTGATGAGAAATAACGACAACAGGTGCCCGTTGTCTTTCAAGCTCAATAATTACTGGTTCAAGCCTGTGTCATTAACATTAATGGCCCCAGAAAGTAAAACAGGCATTAGCCATAACTAACGAAGATAAAATAATGAGAATGTTTGAAGCTTTGGGTAAAAAAAGAAACATTGTGCACCTTTGGATAACATCCAAATAAGATTCTCCACGAGGATATCTATATCTCAATTTATCCTTCTTACGTGCTCTGCAAGTGAAAAATGTAAGGAATTGCCAATGGGCAAAGAGTGTTACAGTAAATAGAGGAACAACTTCCACGACTAGCAAAGAAGCTCACTGAATTATCATAACGAATATCTGGCGGAAATAAACATCCATTAAAATTATGCAGGAAAAGAGACGAAGATCAAGGGGAAGGGGAGGTTGCACATACTCATATTCCTCGGGCATGTTTTTCTTTATCTCTTCATAAGTCATTCCATCACAAACTCCAGCATATATCTCATCAAGTGCACGCCATTGAATCTAATAGAAGGAATAACCATAGAGCATTTTATACATGTGCGTACAAGTGAGAGTTGTTGAGCATTAATCTTTCAGATAGCAAGCTAACCTTGGGGAATCCTCCACCAATAGGACTCGCTGTCAAAATTGTTCGCTGGAGTGTGCTGGTCCAAATCTAATCCACGGCAAAGTCATAAAGGATGACATTAGAGTTTTAAATAACCAGACGCAAATTCACTCGCATTGAAATTTTGGGCTTACAGAGGCAGCCCGTTCAGACTTCAGTCGTTTTTCAACAAAGTTAGCAAGCTTCTTTGAATAAACTTTTCCAGCCTCACTGCCGAAAGAAGTAAATCCCAATTCAATATTTTAACAGGAACCAATTTTGAGATTGAAAAATAAGAAAATAAGACCAATTATGTTACAATATCAAAGAGAAAACATACAGGTTATAGCATTTCAAGAAGGCCATCTCCCTCCTTCAAAATTAATCCCCAAAATTTTGCCCAAACCCCAAACTCACTTTATTTATAACCATCCACCCTAACCAACTTCTTAGATAATTACAAATATGCCACACCTATTGTCCAAATAATATTCTCAATATTTCACAATTAGTACTTCTAACATATTCATAAAGCCAAGTATTGTTTTGAAAATCCAACTTGAGCATGCGATACAAGCACTGGAAAATTTATTTATCATTATACTTGTTCATAAAGAGCTACTGAGCCTTAGCAAAATTGGTCAAATATCAGACAAAAAATTGAGGAAGTTTAGGGGCAAAGGTTCCTCTATATTTTTACACAAAAGCAAATACTGCCCTACATTTATATAGGTTACTAACTTGACACACGACACTTTTGAGGGAAGCTAAAAAGGAAATTGGAAAACCTATATGGAAAGAAAACAGAAACAAGAAAGAAAGAAAAAGTAAACCAAAAAAGGAAAAAAATGGGACTTGAGCAAAATAGAAATAACCATCAAATATTTCTCTCTTGAACGACGTGAAACCTAAACTCATTCTGATTTAATTCTTCTGCACACAAATACATCATCAAAATATTCTTCTTGAACAGTTCGACTTCTTGCCTACATTAACTTTTTTTTTTACTGTCCCTAGTTAATATAATATTATGTCATCTAAGAAAAAATGGTGGCAGGTTCAACAGAGAAATCTCTCCTTCCATAAGTATAGATACTAGATACAATAAATTACCTTAAAATATTTTGTGATGTAAGAACATAAAAACTTTATCTCTACACCTGTTTTCTTATGCATACCTTAATTCAGTGTCGCCTCCGATCCTACCTCTAACATTATCCATACTCTCACCATGCCTAGTGAGCAATATTGGTCGCGGAGTGAGATGGGTATTCACCTGCACCATATTAAATAAAATATTTGATGAGAACAAAAAGAAGTTCGTAGAGTACATAATAAATTACTTGATGAGATGACTATTCACCTGCCCCATATTAAATAAAATATTTGATGAGAACATAAAGAAGTTCGTATGAGTACATAATGATATATTAATACACAGATCCTTTTTTGTAGTACATCAAAAATAGATCCTACAAAAAAATGTCAAAATCTGAATCGAAGCAACAATCATCAAACAAATTCCACAGGGTCCACCAGTTGGGTTTTCAATTAGCAAATCGTATACTCAAGATTCCAATTTTCAAAATGAGCTATTCATACAGTGACATCACCTTGAGCCCTTTTAGATCTAGTGGTTATTGAAATCCCTCTCCTTTATTTGTAATATAATTTTTTTAAAAAGGAGTTTTATTGAGCCATTCTGTAAATTTGCTAACGCTCATTAGCAATTCTAAAGGCTAAGCTTTGTCCATATGTACCCTCCTTCGGTAAAAAGCTCATTAACACTCGCATAGAAGTCCTATGATAAAAAATTATGAAAATGGACAAAACAGGGTGATCGAGCAAAGACGGTGCGAGGGGCTTTAGACTCATGATAAGACTAAAATTCATTAAATTCAAACTAGAATTTATAGAGCCTCGAATGAATTAAGAATGTCTACATTTTTTTTATCATAATAAAAAAAATTGATCAAAGGGGAGATCATACCAAGAAAAAGACAATTCGTCCGGGGAGATACCCACTGATGTTGTTGACCTGAATAAGCAAATATATACTTTTGAGAATACCAAAATTATCAAGTGAGATAAATCCTATATGCGCTTGATCTAAACAAAATAACCACACCGCTACTCTCTTTTGAAAATAATAGTGACTACAAAATAACCACCCTACAATATCATAAGTTAGAAATGAAATAACGCAAACGAGGAATTGAAAAATATGAAGTAACAAAGGCACAAAAATCACAGAAGAGATAAACTCACTTGTATCTGTCCTCCATGGCCACTAACCATGTCAATCATTTTAATATAAGATCCCTCTTCAACAGGTTCATAAACCTGACATAAGAGAAAATTTAGATTTTTCAACATATACCAGAAAAATAATAATATCTAAGAGAACTACTTTTTCATAGTTGTCCAGTCGAGCTTTGAAGTCGCGATATCCAGCCTCAAAATCCGGCCTACAAGAAGGGAAAAAAAACACTAACTGTGTTCCAAAAAAGAAACAGACTAAATTCCAAAAAGAATGAATTAAGTGCTTGGGAAACATACTCATCAGCATAATCAGGACTTTGTTGTATTTTAAGACGTATATTCCTTTCAATGATGCGCTGATCATTGCATAGAGTTTCTAGAAAAATGATCTGCAATTGAAAGATAAAGAAGGATGAGATTACTTAATACTTTTGGAATTCTTCACTACAATTACAGGTATGATCATCATTATACCCGACATTTTCCTTCAGCCAATTTCATCAACATGTTTCTCCGTTTCCTAGTACTGTTTGTGGCATCAAATATTCCAACCTAAATTAATTTAGCATTAGCAAAATAAAACCATTAGTTTAATCCACGTAATAGACGTAACAGTGGAAAACCTTACCTGGCCACCTTCCTGCATCCAAGATATCATATCCTCCATAGCTAGAGCTGCTACCTAGCAGCAGGTGATATATTAAAACTATTTACACAGAGAAAATATTAACATGGTGTTAACCTTACCAATAATCCATGTTAGTCAAGTAAACTTGAAATTGCATCTTTTTGTTTTACAGTAGGAAGGTTTGGTGACTTTCTTAAGATAATGGATCCCTTTCGTTTTTCTTTTTTGGTAGGGGGTGGGGGGTTCCATCTTTTAGGGTAAGTGACGTTCCCAATATAAATGTTAAATTAAATAGATGAAGCAGTAGACAAATTGGAGGCGAATGAAATCCCACTTTC